TTACTCAATCTCCAAAAACTTAATTCTAGTTTCCTAACAGTCTCAATGTGATGAGCAAAAAGAAAGGCAAGGGGAACAGTATTCCAGCTATGGGAATTGGTAACGTGAGTGGTAAATTGGTAATGCTAATTTAAGGCAACTAAAGGCTGCTATATTAGAGGGAAAAAAATAGTAATTGCTCCAGAACAACAGGTTAAATAGCTTCTATGTGATATGTATAGTTCAATTTTAATGAAGATAGCTGGTAACGAAATACAAGACACAGATAATGACCTTTAACTCCATCAATCTCATTAGGAAATTTATCCATGATTAGACGACTTGCAACATCAAAAGTACATTTGAAAAAGTAGTCTGCCTTCTTTAAGTCCGTATCCAATGGCTTAGGATTTCTCTCGTCCTTGGAAGTGCAAACAATTTTGCATTTTCCAAGAATTGATTCTTAAAAACAAAATTTAGTAGGAAATAGCATCAACAATATTCCTTGGAGATTTGATGACTTCCCATAATTGTCTTCCTTGGAGATTTCAGAAGTGTGGGTGCAGTTTATGTCTGTGTCCTAATCAGTACGTGTCTTACCAACAGCAGAAACATCTTTAAGCATGTGTGCCTCAATATTCAACCTTTCGTCAGTGTCGTCCATAACCCTTTCACCTGTACCACTGCCTCCAACATCGACATCCAAGTCAACACCAGGTCCAGCTGAGTCATTATTAGCATCAAGACTTGGATCCCTTGAATTATCCACCATTGACTTTTGAGAAGTACTGCTAGAATTTCTGATGGTGTCATCAGCCAAACTTGTCTCACCAACTGCAATTAAATTTTTAGTACCGGGAACATTCAGTTTATTTGATGGTGTAGTTGATGCATTATCCTGATCATCACCCAGCAGCTTCTCAATCTCCCTTTTTGCATCTACCCATAGACAAGAACAAGCCACAGGGATGTCATTGTCACCCACATGAAGAGAAATGAGAATCAAACAGTAACTTACTTTCGTATCGTTCATGAGCCACCAAGAATTGTTCCGGATCTTCCAAGCTATGAAGGTCAAGAGGCGAAAACAAACTCCATAGAGGGCCTGTCAGAAAAACCCAATTCAGCACAAGAAAAAGGGGATTCACAGAGAGAATGTTAATTATAACTTAAAATCATTACTTTTTAGTTTGATTCAAAGAGAAATGTGGTAGTTTTAGCCCTAATCCGGGTCTCCGTTGTCGACGAAATTCCCCATCGTCTTCAGCATCATTTGTCTTCTGAGAATCTTCAGAGTTGAAAAGTTTAGGGTTAGCATCCACGATGGACTTGGCCAAGAAGAAATGAGAATCAAACAGTAACTTACTTTGCAATCTTTGCAATCGATCATATGCCAAGACGAATTGTTCATAATCTTTCAAGTTATTATGGTTGAGAGTCGGCAAGAAACTGTCCAGAGAGGGCCTGTCAGAAAAACCCGATTCAGCACAAGAAAAAGGGGATTCACAGAGAGAATGTTAATTATAACTTAAAATCATTACTTTTTAATTGGTTCCATAAAGTAAAGTGGTCGTTTTAGCCCTAATCCAGGTCTCAGTTGTCGACGAAAGAAAAGTTTACGTCTAGGGTTTACCACAGTTGAAATTTCCTTCTGCAATGTTGAAGATGAAGCAAATGGAAATCTCGGAGGGGTGGGTGAATCTAACTGCTGCACAGGGCACTGTACAGCCTTTACCAGAGGTGTTCTATTTTTTAGTCTTTTCAAGAAATTATCTATATCGGATAAAGCCTTCCTGGGCTTTGATTTGGGCTTTGATTTGTTCCCTCGCAAAGATTTCATTTCAATCACTGGGTAGTCTGGGAAATCTGGAAGAGAAAATTTCTCTAAAGGGATCGGTTTGATCTGTAATCTGTCCTGCAAAATTTTAATTGCCTTGTCCCCCTCTAGGTCTTCAGGATTGTAACGAAGCAATTCATTCAATAATTCATCAAGATCAAGCTTGTTCCCTTCAGTAGCAGATGAATCTGCACCAAAATACATAATCAGAATGTTTAAATTTATGAAAAATAAACGAGTAAAAGCGTACTGATGTCTGATATTACGAGGAAAAGAACACGAGGATAAATGGAAGAATGCCAACTTGAAACCTGCCAGCACACCCATATAGAAGAATAGACTAACACTCACTCACCCTTCACTTCATTTTCAGAAGAACAAGCCAGCTGCTTCTTAATCTCCCTTTTTGCATCTACCCATAGACAAGAACAAGCCACAGGGATGTCATTGTCACCCACATGAAGAAAAATGAGAATCAAACAGTAACTTACTGTTGTATTGTTTTAGGGCCAAGGCGAATTCTTCCGCATCTTTATCTTTGAAGTCATTAAGGTCAAGAGGCGGCAACAAACTCTCCAAAGAGGGCCTGTCAGAAGATGTGTTACAAGCAACACCTTTGTCAATGTTCTCGGCCACAGGATCAATACTCTGAGATCCAAGTGTCTCTTGAGAGGACAGAACATCATCAGAGGCTTCTCTTGGATACCTATGCCTGTATTTGAGAGGTCTGACCCATATAACATTAAGACCAATTAGTTAAACAACAGAACATAAAAATGACAAACATCACAAACAAGGCAACCTAAACAGATTATCAGAGTATCATGAAGGTACATTCGATTACTCCCCAAAAGCCCCGGTCGGAGATGCCGCGGTCTAGAGAATACATTATCCTCAAACGAGGCATTATCCTCAAACGAGGCATAACCCAGCTGCTTCATAATCTCCTTTTTTGCATCTACCCATAGACAAGAACAAGCCACAGGGATGTCATTGTCACCCACATGAAGAGAAATGAGAATCAAACAGTAACTTACTTTCGTATCGTTCATGCGCCAAGAAGAATTGTTTATAATCTTTCAAGCTATCAAGGTCAGGAGGCGGCAACAAACTCTCCAAAGAGGGCCTGTCAGAAAAACCCAATTCAGCACAAGAAAAAGGGGATTCACAGAGAGAATGTTAGTTATAACTTAAAATCATTACTGTTTAGTTCGTTTCATAGAGAAACGTGGTAATTTTAGCCCTAATCCGGGTCTCCGTCTCCGTTGTCGAAAAAATTCTCTATACTCTTCAGGATGATTTTTCTCCAGATATTCTTCAGAGTTGAAAAGTTTAGGGTTAGCATCCACGATGGACTTGGCCAAGAAGAAATGAGAATCAAACAGTAACTTACCGAACCATCTATCAGACGCCGAGAAGAATTGTTCCATATCTTTGAAGTCATTAGGGTCAGGACGCGGCAACAAACTCTCCACAGAGGGCCCTAATCCGGGTCTCGGTTGTGGACGAAACTCCCCATCCTTTTCAGCATCATTTGTCTTTTGAGAATCCTCTTTTAACAATTGTTCTTCGTCGTCGTCGTCGTCGTCGTCGGCGGCGGCGGCGGCAAAGGGTTCAGTGAATTCTTCCAATGGGGCTTTCCCGGGCCTCCGACGAAAGCCCCCGTCCCCTTCTTTCTCCTCATTTTCTTTATCCAATTCTTCTTCGTCAAAAGAAGGAAATCAAATTTATTTACAGATGATCAAAGGCAAATGTACTCTAAGCAGGAACATGATGTCATATCAGCTACTAAGCTCACAATATACCTGGTGGATTCACCACGTTGAGATTCGTATCATCTGTAGGGATAGAAGCCGTAAATGTCTGCATATTTTCTGCCTGCATCAATCAAACAAAAATTAATCCAGAAAACAAGATTCATCCTCAAGAAATTCAAGAAACTCAAGAAAGACGGTAAAACTCAAGAAACCATTACCTGAAAATCACGAATGGGAAAATATTCGGGAATCTGTTATTACCTGAAAAAATAACTATAAAATGATTTCTTATTCTTATTATAATAATGTAAAAAGGATTTGATAGAGAAAAATCTTCCCTTTTTAGAACAACGAAAAAAAAGAGAGTAAAAGTGTCTAGTTGGAATTGGAAACGTAAAATGTGGTTGAATGAATTACTCTTAGTTACTTGTGAGATTGAGATAGACGAAGGGGTTTGTGATTCTTGGACTAAGAAAAAAATTCTAGAAACAAAACGTGACTTAAGAAATGTGTGAATTATCCACGTTCAACTTATATATCTGATGCTTACAAAAAATACACCTAACAGAATTGGACGAAGAGACTTGTAAAGTAAAAAATCTTATGCTGATTTGTTCTATTACCATGGATCATCGTCACTATTATAGATTATAGTTATCTTGTTTAATATAATTGTCATCAAATATTTGTGATTTTTTACGGGCAGTTTCATTAACTGTCAAAAAAAATAACACTAATTGAGTTTTTTTTTTTATAAATATTTTTGATGGTCAAAAATGGTTACAATCATAGTTTAGGGTTAGCATCCACGATGGACTTGGCCAAGAAGAAATGAGAATCAAACAGTAACTTACCGAACCATCTATCAGACGCCGAGAAGAATTGTTCCATATCTTTGAAGTCATTAGGGTCAGGACGCGGCAACAAACTCTCCACAGAGGGCCCTAATCCGGGTCTCGGTTGTGGACGAAACTCCCCATCCTTTTCAGCATCATTTGTCTTTTGAGAATCCTCTTTTAACAATTGTTCTTCGTCGTCGTCGTCGTCGTCGTCGGCGGCGGCGGCGGCAAAGGGTTCAGTGAATTCTTCCAATGGGGCTTTCCCGGGCCTCCGACGAAAGCCCCCGTCCCCTTCTTTCTCCTCATTTTCTTTATCCAATTCTTCTTCGTCAAAAGAAGGAAATCAAATTTATTTACAGATGATCAAAGGCAAATGTACTCTAAGCAGGAACATGATGTCATATCAGCTACTAAGCTCACAATATACCTGGTGGATTCACCACGTTGAGATTCGTATCATCTGTAGGGATAGAAGCCGTAAATGTCTGCATATTTTCTGCCTGCATCAATCAAACAAAAATTAATCCAGAAAACAAGATTCATCCTCAAGAAATTCAAGAAACTCAAGAAAGACGGTAAAACTCAAGAAACCATTACCTGAAAATCACGAATGGGAAAATATTCGGGAATCTGTTATTACCTGAAAAAATAACTATAAAATGATTTCTTATTCTTATTATAATAATGTAAAAAGGATTTGATAGAGAAAAATCTTCCCTTTTTAGAACAACGAAAAAAAAGAGAGTAAAAGTGTCTAGTTGGAATTGGAAACGTAAAATGTGGTTGAATGAATTACTCTTAGTTACTTGTGAGATTGAGATAGACGAAGGGGTTTGTGATTCTTGGACTAAGAAAAAAATTCTAGAAACAAAACGTGACTTAAGAAATGTGTGAATTATCCACGTTCAACTTATATATCTGATGCTTACAAAAAATACACCTAACAGAATTGGACGAAGAGACTTGTAAAGTAAAAAATCTTATGCTGATTTGTTCTATTACCATGGATCATCGTCACTATTATAGATTATAGTTATCTTGTTTAATATAATTGTCATCAAATATTTGTGATTTTTTACGGGCAGTTTCATTAACTGTCAAAAAAAATAACACTAATTGAGTTTTTTTTTTTATAAATATTTTTGATGGTCAAAAATGGTTACAATCATATTTTCTTAAAAAATTTTAAACATATATTAACAGTTTCAAACCTCCAAAAAATATTATTTGAATAAAAAAAATCTTATTTCTATACACAAATTCAATTTTAAAACTTTTATTTGAATAGTAATAATTCAAAATTTTTATTTTAATAATTTTTTTCTTATTAGAATAAAAAATATTATTAGATTACAAAACTTTTTATATTATATTGAAAAATGCTTATGCACTATATACTTATTTATGTTGATTAGTTTTTAACCTAAAAAAATTACTCTAGAATTATTTACTTAACTTTAATTAGTTATTTATTTTATTTTAAAATATTGTTTATTTAATTGTATAATTTTCTATTTAATTGATTAAAATAAAAATAATTAATAAAAAATCATTTTAAAAAATATTTATTTTTAATTTCATTCCTTTTAACTCTACAACGAATGAAAACAGACCATTAAAACCGCAAATAGCAAGCCTTGTCTAAACACTTACTATAGGTTTTAGATACGTAAGCAACACGTGTATAAAGAACTTTGCCTTGACAAATTTAATGAAACACTTATGCCTATATAGAGGGGACGGGGTAATACGTATAGGTTGCAGCAATTAGAAATCCACTTCTCAGCAAAATAATTTAATACCACATTTAAACATAGCAATAACAAGGAATATATATCGTACATCAGGTATAGTATCAAAAAAAATTACACGTCAAGAAGTGATATTGCCTAACTGCATTCCTTTGGCATGCAAAGCGCATCACACTGGCACAGCAGAACACAGAAGACAGCGTCAAGCTAAAGCTTTAGCCGCAAGTCAGAGGAAACCAGTGAAGCAAGTGTGTTCATGAAATACAATGGCCATATAATTGCCTCACTTGATAAGAAACCTGTGGAGCTAAAGGAAGAAACTTGAAATTATGCTGTTAAAATTTCTTCAGCACCAGAATAGATGACTGACACCATCAGTCATACAAGGAAAGGACCTTCGAGACTTTGGTACAGTAACATTTAGAATTTTAACATCACATTTATCCAAACTTTGTAAGTTTTTAACACATATTTTAAATGAAGATTGGCGGGCTTAATCCTATTTAATAACTATCTCCAAATTTTGCAACTCTCAATTTTATCCAATAAAAAAATAGTATATTAAGATGAGTGTGTTGAAAACACTCCTCCTTTTTGTATTAGAGGAAAGAGAGATATTTATGTTTGTTCAATTTTTTTTTTATAAATAAAATAGTATGTAGGTATTAGGTAATTTAAATAATGTAAAGCTAAACACGATCACTTTAAATAATATTTTGAATTTAAATTTTATGAATAAAATATATATGATTGGAAAGAAAAACTTATTAAATATGATCAAATAACTAAAGAATAAAATAATAAATAATTTAGAGAATAAATAAAATATAAAGTTCAATAGCATAATATTCAAAAGAGGATATTCAAGAAGATATTCTTTTTGTTGTAACTGTTATTTTATAATTTATTAATATAAAATATTTATCAATTTTATTGAAAATTAATATTCATTGAGAAAGTTGACTGATTAGATTTAGTGAAATATTTTATTCGATTACAATTTTTCTACTTATAAGACTCGAAACCTTACTTGAAAAAACTAAATATGACAGAGACTATTCTTTTTATTATAACCAATATAAAAAAACATACTTTATGTCATTATGTGTTTTGTATAAAACTTAAAAATTAAGTAAACGATAAAAATAAAATAAAATATTTGCGACCGGTTAATAATTAGATGTTATAAATGATTGTAGATAATTATATATAGAGGGCGAAAAGTTTGAAGATAAAATTACAGAGAAATAAAGAATAAAAAATAAATTAAAGTGTGAAATAAAAAGAGTGTTCAAGAAGTTAAAAGGAAAAAATATGTTAGCTTTATTAAAAATATAGATTATTAATTATTAATATTACACCAAAATGATTACGAATAAAACTGTATTTTAGTAAATATTTATCTTCATTTACTTATATGACATTTAAACATACTTCTCAAAATAAAATAAAAAATAAAAAAAAAAGTTTTTTTTTTCGAACTAAGTCCTTTTAACTTTAAGTAATATCTTGAATTTGAGTTGTGTATAAAAAAAATGATTAAAAAAAACTCTATTAAAATTTATTAATAAATTTTTTTAATAAAAATTAATTATCAATAAAATTGTTAAATATCTCATACTAATAACTAAAGATAATGGACTTTTGATTTAAGTGGGTACTTCGTACCAATCACATATTACCTTAAAAACATGCTTAACAATACAAAAAGAAAAAAATAATATAAAATTAAAACCTAAAAAACGCGAAGCTTGTACAGACACTATCCAATTGCAATTTGAAATTTGAAGTTAATATGACATAATTAGTGAGAGTATATATTTATTGTAAAAATGAGTCAAAGAAAAAGCGAGCGTGTAGAATATAATAACCGTAACTAGGAAATGAAATGACGAAGAAGTCCCTAGGCGAAGCAGTAACATGGACGGTTGCGAATGCGAAGTAAGACGTAAGACATGTGTTTTCTATAAATTGGCATGAACGCTGCGGCTGTTGTGTAAGCACTAAGCAGCAACAATCAACAATCAATAATCAACAATGGGTGTTAACTCCAACAGAGTGGAACACTTCGACAGCCATGAAACCACCATCAAAATCCAAACCATGCCATCATTTCAAATCCATGCAGTGCAGTTGCCACCCCAACAAACCACTCTCCATAAACTCAGACACAGACTCTCCGAAATCTTCTTCCCCGATGACCCTCTCCACCGTTTCCAAAACCAAACTTGCTTCAAAAAGTTCCTCCTCGCACTTCAGTACCTCTTCCCCATTTTCCACTGGGCCCCTCATTACAACTTTACCCTTCTCCGTACTGATCTCATTTCCGGCCTCACCATTGCCAGTCTCGCCATTCCTCAGGTACCATTAAACATAATGCATCTTATACATATATATTTCACTTTACCTTCACTCCAACCAAAAACTTGTTTATAAATTCAAGTAGTTAATGCGAAAAGTCTGAACCTTTGACTTTGACCTCTCTTGTCTTTCCTTTTGCAGGGGATCAGTTACGCCAAACTTGCAAACTTGCCACCAATTGTGGGACTATGTTAGTATTTTTTTTATTATTATATTTTCTTTTGTAGTCTCCGCGTGCCATGGCAATGAGTTATAGTAAACACGTTACGATGGACATGTTTCATTATTCTGTATGTGTGGAGATGTAACTGTTCAAATGGTGCAGATTCAAGTTTCGTGCCTCCATTGGTTTACTCACTTCTCGGAAGTTCTAAACATCTCGGTGTTGGACCGGTTTCCATTGCGTCTTTGGTAATGGGATCAATGTTGAACGAGAAAATTTCTTACACTCAAGACCCAACTCTTTATCTAGGAATGGCTTTCACCGCAACTTTCTTTGCTGGTGTGTTCCAAGCTTCTTTGGGTATACTAAGGTAATTGTGGACAACATGCACCCTGAAAAAAAGAAAATTAGTAAAGTTGAAATTAAGAATTTATGGTTACCTTAGTCGCAGGTTATTATTGTTGGTGTTTTATGATTAAAGTAAGGTTTGATTGTGTGACAGGTTAGGATTCGTGATTGATTTTCTGTCGAAGGCAACGCTGGTTGGATTCACGGGTGGAGCTGCCATTATTGTTTCACTGCAGCAGCTTAAAGGCTTACTTGGAATCGTGCACTTTTCTAACAAGATGCAAATAATCCCTGTTTTGATCTCTGTTTTCGACCAAAGACACGAGGTACAGAGCACCACCAAATCTATTCGCAATTTACTTTAACAATGCTTCGAATCAAATTTTAATTTCCCCACTGTACCCAAAAAAAAAAAAAAAAAATTCATAAATGACTTTTTTACTTGAAAAGTTATTAAAACAATTTGAGATCCATTGAATTTTAAAGTGGGTCGTATGTGATTTTTTGTAACTGTTATTTTATAATTTATTAATATAAAATATTTATCAATTTTATTGAAAATTAATATTCATTGAGAAAGTTGACTGATTAGATTTAGTGAAATATTTTATTCGATTACAATTTTTCTACTTATAAGACTCGAAACCTTACTTGAAAAAACTAAATATGACAGAGACTATTCTTTTTATTATAACCAATATAAAAAAACATACTTTATGTCATTATGTGTTTTGTATAAAACTTAAAAATTAAGTAAACGATAAAAATAAAATAAAATATTTGCGACCGGTTAATAATTAGATGTTATAAATGATTGTAGATAATTATATATAGAGGGCGAAAAGTTTGAAGATAAAATTACAGAGAAATAAAGAATAAAAAATAAATTAAAGTGTGAAATAAAAAGAGTGTTCAAGAAGTTAAAAGGAAAAAATATGTTAGCTTTATTAAAAATATAGATTATTAATTATTAATATTACACCAAAATGATTACGAATAAAACTGTATTTTAGTAAATATTTATCTTCATTTACTTATATGACATTTAAACATACTTCTCAAAATAAAATAAAAAATAAAAAAAAAAGTTTTTTTTTTCGAACTAAGTCCTTTTAACTTTAAGTAATATCTTGAATTTGAGTTGTGTATAAAAAAAATGATTAAAAAAAACTCTATTAAAATTTATTAATAAATTTTTTTAATAAAAATTAATTATCAATAAAATTGTTAAATATCTCATACTAATAACTAAAGATAATGGACTTTTGATTTAAGTGGGTACTTCGTACCAATCACATATTACCTTAAAAACATGCTTAACAATACAAAAAGAAAAAAATAATATAAAATTAAAACCTAAAAAACGCGAAGCTTGTACAGACACTATCCAATTGCAATTTGAAATTTGAAGTTAATATGACATAATTAGTGAGAGTATATATTTATTGTAAAAATGAGTCAAAGAAAAAGCGAGCGTGTAGAATATAATAACCGTAACTAGGAAATGAAATGACGAAGAAGTCCCTAGGCGAAGCAGTAACATGGACGGTTGCGAATGCGAAGTAAGACGTAAGACATGTGTTTTCTATAAATTGGCATGAACGCTGCGGCTGTTGTGTAAGCACTAAGCAGCAACAATCAACAATCAATAATCAACAATGGGTGTTAACTCCAACAGAGTGGAACACTTCGACAGCCATGAAACCACCATCAAAATCCAAACCATGCCATCATTTCAAATCCATGCAGTGCAGTTGCCACCCCAACAAACCACTCTCCATAAACTCAGACACAGACTCTCCGAAATCTTCTTCCCCGATGACCCTCTCCACCGTTTCCAAAACCAAACTTGCTTCAAAAAGTTCCTCCTCGCACTTCAGTACCTCTTCCCCATTTTCCACTGGGCCCCTCATTACAACTTTACCCTTCTCCGTACTGATCTCATTTCCGGCCTCACCATTGCCAGTCTCGCCATTCCTCAGGTACCATTAAACATAATGCATCTTATACATATATATTTCACTTTACCTTCACTCCAACCAAAAACTTGTTTATAAATTCAAGTAGTTAATGCGAAAAGTCTGAACCTTTGACTTTGACCTCTCTTGTCTTTCCTTTTGCAGGGGATCAGTTACGCCAAACTTGCAAACTTGCCACCAATTGTGGGACTATGTTAGTATTTTTTTTATTATTATATTTTCTTTTGTAGTCTCCGCGTGCCATGGCAATGAGTTATAGTAAACACGTTACGATGGACATGTTTCATTATTCTGTATGTGTGGAGATGTAACTGTTCAAATGGTGCAGATTCAAGTTTCGTGCCTCCATTGGTTTACTCACTTCTCGGAAGTTCTAAACATCTCGGTGTTGGACCGGTTTCCATTGCGTCTTTGGTAATGGGATCAATGTTGAACGAGAAAATTTCTTACACTCAAGACCCAACTCTTTATCTAGGAATGGCTTTCACCGCAACTTTCTTTGCTGGTGTGTTCCAAGCTTCTTTGGGTATACTAAGGTAATTGTGGACAACATGCACCCTGAAAAAAAGAAAATTAGTAAAGTTGAAATTAAGAATTTATGGTTACCTTAGTCGCAGGTTATTATTGTTGGTGTTTTATGATTAAAGTAAGGTTTGATTGTGTGACAGGTTAGGATTCGTGATTGATTTTCTGTCGAAGGCAACGCTGGTTGGATTCACGGGTGGAGCTGCCATTATTGTTTCACTGCAGCAGCTTAAAGGCTTACTTGGAATCGTGCACTTTTCTAACAAGATGCAAATAATCCCTGTTTTGATCTCTGTTTTCGACCAAAGACACGAGGTACAGAGCACCACCAAATCTATTCGCAATTTACTTTAACAATGCTTCGAATCAAATTTTAATTTCACCACTGTACCCAAAAAAAAAAAAAAAAAATTCATAAATGACTTTTTTACTTGAAAAGTTATTAAAACAATTTGAGATCCATTGAATTTTAAAGTGGGTGGAGGGAGGCAGAGCTATAATAAGACAAACATAAGTACGTAATCATCCTCTGGGAACTGAAGTGTATCAGGGCTCCAGTATTCAATTATCCCTTTTGCATCTGCCGAAAGTACAGAATCACATACAGAATTGTACTTCATAACTTTAATAGGACCCATATGTATCCGAACAAAGGAGCAAGGAATGGTAAAATTGTTCAATGAAATTCTGAAAAATATCACCCAAACAAAGAGGCTTGTTCAATGAAATGGTAAAATTGTTTCACTACCTAATCACTCACAATGGCGAATGCTTGATGGACGTAGCTATCTGTTGTTCCCGCTTAATTGTGCTTAAGGTTGAGAGTTATATCCTATATGAATCTAAATTTTATGTTACCATTTCAGCCAGATCCAAGTGAGATGACCAAAATAGCTGCAGAGGGGATTCTAACTTGTTTGCAAGATGCAATATGTTCTCTAGAGGAAAAACGGGTAATGTACACACAAAATTGTTTATCACTTTTATTAGTTTGAAAGCAATTTTTCTGATATTTTCTTTCCCTGGGGGATGCTGGCATAGGTAAAATTTTCTTTGTTTAAATTCTGTGTCAGAATAAATAGAGTATCATATTGATAGATAAAGAGCAGACTTTTGTTATCATTTAAAATTCAATTGAATTTACTTTCTAAACACGTAAGGCAAGGATCGCTGGTAGTACAATATTTAGAGCTTATTTTAAATACAATTTGTTTTTATTTAAGTATTCATCATATTTTTGTGTATCATGAAGTCAGTTAACTGGAATATGCAACATGCCACAAACAAGTCAAAAAATTTCTTGCATGAACACCAACGGTACTTGGTATTTTCTATTTCCTAATCCTTTGCATCCCAACATTTTTCTTGGTGCTACTAAGATTTCTCTGCAACCTTTGTACTTATTTTTATGATCCCAGGTTCAACGTGTAGTACCTAACATTGCTGACCAATTTCACTTAGATAGGAATTGGCTGATCAATTGATTGATTCGTCAGCAGTAGCACACTAACAGTTTGCACATGTCTATATTAATACCTTCTGAGCCACTAACAGTTTGCGCTTAGACTTGTTGAATTGCTTGTCTAGTTCAATACTTTAATTTTTATAGCTTTCTATTATATTTGGCCTCACACAGTTGTCAAAATCCGGTGCCATAGTCGATACTCTTACTTCTAGTTTCAGCATGTTGCCTTCATTGTATCGATAAAATCAAATATATGATTTCACAGCTGATGGTGTTTATCTTATTATCTTTAACCAGGACATCCGCAAAGGAACTGAGGACTGGAAGTTCTTACCTCGTGTTGTTGAGGAGCTTGCAAAGTTGGATGTGGTAAGAAATAACAAGAACACATTGTCAAAGGAAGATCTTCACAGACAAGCTTTGGATTGTAAAAGTATTTATGAAGAGGAGCTAAATAGTTTCGATCATGAAAGGAAAGAGAATTCAAAGGTAAATAAAGAACAGAGGAGCAAAACTGGAAGAACAAATGGCATGTCTTCTGGTGCAGTTGAGTATGATAGTGATGAGACAATTGAGATGACAGAACAAGAAATTGACCTTGCATATAAGACTTTGTCCTCTAACATCTGCCACTTGTGAATGCTCATTGAACTTGTTTCTTTAGTTAGGGATGAAAAGGAGTTGTTTTGGTTTTCCTAGTTTTTTCATTGGATATCTTACCGTCTCCTTTGGAAAGTGCCTAACTCACTCACAAGGTTTGTTGTTAGCCTTACTATTATAAAAATATTTTTTATATTATTACTGATATATTTCTTTCCACTATTTTTTTATTCATCCAATCAAGCGAAGAAAAATCCTTCCATTTCCTTCTCTTTTTCTTATATTTTTAACATTCTTATTTCATTCTTTTATATTCATTCCTTCCTAATTCACTCTAAAGCCAAGCAAATACATTAAAGTTTGAATTGTGTTTGTGAAATATGAGAAGTTGAGTTTAATTCATGTTGTGATTTTTTATTGGTAGGTTATTCATGAGTATCAGTAATTTTTTTAACTGTTTTTTTAGTATTATAGCATGTTGCGACTTTGAATTCAATTGAATCGCCAAGCAAATACAAGATTGATGTCATTTAAGTAAAATTAGAGTTGGCTTAACAATAAAAATAAAACCTCATTTGTGTTTATGTTCACATAAATATTCTTTTAGCTCAATGTTATATCACCAGTTCACCAATCTTATTTATTGCTTGTGTGCACAACTCTCTTGTAGCATGAATCTGTTTTGCCGAACAAAAATCCCTTACTTTTGGTTAAGTTTTAAATAATTCATTATAATTTAACACTTTACTAACCTAATTCATGATTTCTTTTCATTCCCAGATACTACTCGAATTGTATAGTTTATTGCCTAATCTATTTACTCCGTGTATATTCATTATGATTTCTTTTGTTCTTGGTCGGATAACCCTGGTGCGTTCATTGTCTCACAATCATTAAATGGCGACAACTACAATTCTTGGAGCCGCGCAATCAGATTCGTCGATGGCACGATTCCTAAGCCTAAGGAAACTGCAAAATCTTTCCATTCTTGGCAACGCAACAACAATATCGTTGCTTCTTGGTTATTAAAATCTTTCCGCCGCAGTCATATGGAATGATCTTCGAATACGTTTTCAACAGCAAAATGGTCCACGCATTTTTCAATTGCGACGCGATTTGATGACCTTGAAACAAGGTTCCTTTTCTATCACTCACAATTTTACCAAGGTCAAAGCCTTATGAGAAGAATTGGCTGAATACAAACCCCCACACACTTGTGGTTGTGGTGGTATCAAATCTTGGATTGATTATCATCAATCTGAATATGTCATGTTGTTCTTGATGGGATTAAATGAGGGTTATTCTCATATCAGAGGGCAAATTTTGTTAATGGACCCAATTCCATCAATAGAAAAGGTTTTCTCTCTAGTAATGCAAGAAGAGAAACAACAAGAAATTGGAATTGCAGAAAATTCCAATGACACACCAACAGTTTTTACATACAAATCAGGATCCAACGACAGTTCAAGCAAAAACAGGCCCAAGTGTGAACATTGTCAGAAACTTTGTCATACCAAGGACAAATGCTTCAAGCTTCATGGGTACCCTGCACATCTGAAAAGGGGACGCTCAGCCAATGCTGTCAATCAAGTTTCAGATACACATGATAAGTCATTTCAGGTTACAACAGATCGATATCAACAACTTATCTCACTACTACAGAATCAACCCACACCCAGTACCAACATTGACAGTAATCCCCTTGTAAATGGTGTGCTTCTTTCAATTAGTCCCTCTATTAATACTCTTTCTTGTACTAGTTGAATTCTTGATTCTGGAGCCACCACTCACGTAGCATGCTCATCAACCTTTTTTAAATCCTACAACATTACCACTAATCATCATGTGACTTTGCCTAACCAAAGTCAAATACCTGTTTGTGGCACAGGCACTATCATTCTTGATAATCATATTATTTTGAAAGATGTTTTATATGTGCCAAAAATTTAAATACAATTTGTTATCTGTACATTGTCTTCTAAGGGACAACCCTCTTTCATTGTCATTTGAGTTTAATAAATTCGTTTTGCAGGATACTCTTCACAAACGGACGATTAGCACAGGTGAAGCTGTAAAGGGATTATACCTTTTGAAACAGCCTTCCAACAAACAACAAACTGATACTGTTTTTTGTTCTAATGCTAGTCTGCCAACACACTTTACTTTCATTTCTAGTTTTCCCACTTGTAATAAACAGACAGATATATGGCACAATAGGTTTGGTCATGTGAATGACCTTGTTTTGAAAACGTTAAGTAATAAAATTCCTTTTACTATGTCAAATTCCTATTCTTCATCTACATGTCATATTTGTCCTGTCGCTAAATTCAAGAGATTACCTTTTCAATGTCATAATCATTTTTGTACCAAACCTTTTGATTTGATACATTGTGATGTTTGGGGACCATATAGACATCCCACTTATAATTCTATGAAATATTTTCTGACTTTGGTAGATGATCATTCCAGATACACATGAATCCATTTATTAAGAACCAAAGCAGAAGCAACTTCTGCAATCAAGTCTTTTTTTAGTTTGATTCAAACTCAATTTGGAGTCACCATCAAACAATTCCGGAGTGATAATGCCCAAGAGCTTGCCCTGACAGAATTCATCAAGGAAAAAGGCATTATTCATCAACTATCTTGTGTTGAAAGACCCCAACAAAATGCCGTGGTGGAGAGAAAACATCAACATCTTCTAAGTGTTGCACGAGCCTTGTATTATCAATCTAAAATCCCAATTCGTTTCTGGGGGGATTGTATCACTACTGCTGCTTTCCTTATAAACAGGATGCCCTCTCCCAATACTAAGAACATCTCACCCTACAATCTTTTATATGGTAAGGATCCTGATTATACTGTGTTAAAAAGTTTTGGTTGTTTGTGTTTTGCAGCAACATTAAACTCCCAAAGAGATAAATTCTCTCCAAGAAGCACAGCGTGTATCTTTATTGGCTATCCTCTGGGGATGAAGGGATATAAGTTGTGCGACATTCAGACCAAAAGGGTTTTTGTCTCCAGGGATGTTATCTTTCACGAAACCACTTTTTCGTACCATTCCATCATTGAACATGAAACACCAGACCTCTTTCATGATACTGTTATTCCTTTACCCATTTCATCTTCTGATAATTGTCAACCCACAAACACCAATATACAACTTGATCCTTATTCCACTCATCATACATAGGATCTCACTCCTCCAAGCCCCCACAATAATTCACCTGAGTCTAGCCCTCCCGATAAGCAGACCTTAGGTACACCTGATCATAATTTTGCCACTACTCAACCTGTTGCTCAAACACACCCTACAGATGTTACATACTTACCAGGCACAAGAAAATCTTCCAGAACTTCAAATAAACCTGCCTATTTAGAAGCCTACGACTGTACCAATGCAGTTCTATATCCCATACAAGAATACCTTACCTATGATAATTTGTCACCCAAGTACAAAAATTTCATTGGTCACGTTTCATCCATTTATGAACCAACATTCTATCACCAAGCAGCGAAATTTCCTGAATGGAGAGAAGCCATGAGCGAAGAATTAAGAGCCTTGAAGATAAGGATACCTGGACTCTTGCCAGGCTACCTAAAGGAAAGAGATGCATAGGCTGTAAGTGGGTCTACAAGGTTAAATACCATCCAGATGGCACGACCTACAAAATCAAGGCCAGATTAGTTGCAAAAGGCTATACACAACATCCTGGAATAGACTTCTCAGACACTTTCTCTCCTGTGGCTAAAATGACAACAATCAGAACACTTCTTGCTGTTGCTGCCATTAAACGTTGGCACCTCTTCCAAATTGACATTAGTAATGCTTTCTTGAATGGCGACCTACATGAAGAATTATACATGACGCTGCCTCCAGGATACCCCACATCAGAAAAACACCTTGGTATAGAACTCCTTGACCACAGCTATGTTGGCCGGGAGTGGGTAGGAACCAAGCTTGTCCCACCGACGCCTGTGCAACTCAGCCTGAAACTTCGGTGCCTCATCGGGCTCCAACTCAACCCGCCTCTCTAGAATGAACTTTCTTCCACTGATAGACTCGAAATGCTTCTCATTCCGCTCGGTCAGGAAGAGGTCAGAATAGGGCCGACTCGGCTTGCGCAGAGGTTGACCCGATTTGCTAGCACGGGGGCGTTTGCTGGAGGAGACCATCTGCAAAATATAAAACAAGAAGTCCCAGGCAGACAGATGAGCATAACAAGGTGAACAGGGATGACCAGTTTCAGATAACTCAAAAGGAAAGCTAGCCTTAGACTTAAACAGCAACCGAAAAAGAAACAAAAACACAACAAAAACAAAGGGGTCAGAGGTTTCTGCGCCGGGCTTATGATTCATGCGCCTGGCGCATAGAGTATAGAGAAATCTCTGGAATCACTCGCACCGGGCGCAAAACAGAATTGCGTCGGGCATACCACACAATAAAACTCTCTAGAACAGTAAGCACGCCGAGCGTAGTTCATCGCGCCCGGCTTGAGTTCAACCAAAAATCTTTAATAACTCTTGTGCCAGGCATGATTCCTCGCGCCTGGCTTGAATGCACCCAGGGACTACGTCTTGTTAAAGCATTTGAGCCTTAAACCCCAATGTGGGTTAACAGAAACCCATGGAACCCTAAGTGGCTACAAACAGAACAACCGGGCAAAGAGAAAGAAAAAACAAAAATACAGGCACCTACTTGTGTGTGGAGTGTTGTGGAAGGACGAACGGCAAATGCGTAGCCTCAGAGAGTTGGAGCGTGAGGTTGAAGAGAGTTCCGTGACCGTGAGAGAGTTGAGGGCGAATGAGTGGTTTTGGGAGATGAAGAACGTGAGAGGGGGAAGAGATTGAGTTGAGAAAGTGGAGAATGAGAGGTGGGTGAAGAGATTAGAAGGGAAAAGAGAGAATGGGAGATGAGGGGTTGAGAGAAGAGAGGGAACACGGTTTTGGGGAGTTGAGAGTGTTGAGAGAGTTGGGTCCGTGAGAGAGGGAAGAGTTTGAAAGTGAAGAGGGGAAGAGTGGGCGTGAGGGGTTATGGGGCATCTGAGGGGTCACGCCAGGCGCACTAAATTGTCGCGCTGGGTGCGGTATCACTAGAATACTAAAGGTTGCCCCTTATCTGATATGACGTCGGGCGCTGCCGTTTCGCGCAGGGCGTAGTTAGGGTTACAAACGTGCAAGCATGCAATGCGCCCGGCTTGGAAGATACGCGCCCGATGTAATTAATGTCGAGACCTTCCAGTGATAAATGCACTGGGTGCATTTATGAGCGCGTCGGGCCTGCCAACCCCTGAAGCACCTAACTTTTATGCGCCCGGCACTCCAATAAATGCGCCGGGCTTGGTCGTTCCAGGGCTCTTTTTGAATGATAGGCCGGACGCAATAGAAATTGCGCCTGGCGTGGGTCTTGGCAGAGACCAAATGGCTTTAGATGCGCTAGGCGTGGTTGTGTCGTGCCCGGCGTGATTAGTTCTGTAAAGCTTTCACCTAAATTTTTCCACTCCTCAAACTCTTAACATATTCTAATCTATATTAACCCACTCAAGCATGATGCATACCATTAACACAGAACACAAAACACATACAATACAATACAACATACATATCACTGAACACAAACAATCACAAAACAAGTCCCATAAACAAGCATAACATACAATTATACTACAATCCGACTAAAAGCTAAAAACACAAAGCAATCATATGCCATAAAATTCATATCTCTGGGTTGCCTCCCAAGAAGCGCTTGTTTACTGTCCCGAGCCTGACAAGAAGAGACCTCAAGGGTCTCTGAAAGAAAGGATATAGCAGAGTCTTTCGACTTCTCCACCCAAGTAGGGTTTCAACCGCTGTCCATTCATAACCCAGCTCCTTTGTGCCTCAGGATCTTCAATTTCTATGGCACCATAGGGTTTCACCTCCTTGACTCTGAAAGGGCCAAACCACTTTAATCTTAGTTTTCCAGGAAAGAGTTTGAGCCTGGAATTGAACAGTAGCACTGACTGGCCTGCCCTGAACTCTCTCTTGAGAATTTTCCTGTCATGATAGCTCTTGACTTTCTCCTTGTAGAGCTTAGATGATTCATAGGCTTGGAGCCTCAGTTCATCAAGAGCATGCAGCTCCAACTTCCTCTTCTCACCAGTGCTGAGAGGATCAAAATTCAACAGCTTCAAAGCCCAATAAGCTTTGTGCTCCAGTTCTACAGGAAGATGGCAAGCTTTCCCATACACCAATTGAAATGGAGTGAGACCAATTGGAGACTTGAAGGCGATTCTATAAGCCCATAAAGCTTCATCAAGCTTTGTAGACCAGTCCTTCCTTGAAGATGACACAGTTTTCTCCAAAATCCTCTTGATCTCTTTGTTAGAAATCTCAGCTTGTCCATTGGTTTGAGGGTGATAGGCGGTAGCAACCTTATGATGGACTCCATAATGTTCTAGAGCCCTCTCCAACTGAGCATTGCAGAAGTGTGAACCTCCATCACTGATAAGTACTCTAGGGGTGCCAAATCTGCTGAATATGTGCTTCTTGAGTATTGGAGTATATCTTTACTCCTTCGCATTGTATTAGTTGGTTATCTATCTGTTAGTTATTTTTCTGTTTTTTGGTTAGGTTACCTGCTCAACAGGTCAATGTATCATTAGCTTCCTTTTGAAGCTATAGATACATATAAATAGACAAGTTGTAATGTTAATCAGTTAGTGCAAATATTATCTCTTTCTCTATTGAATAGCTTTCACCAATTCTCTCTCTGTTCTCTCAATTCTTTTATCATAATTCATTCTGTTATTCAATATGGTATCATAGAGCACATCGATCCTCCTTCGTCTTCTCCTTTTCATCCCTCCTCCCCTCTTTCTCAGCCCCTTTTCTCTCGTTGCCGCTCTTTCCTCATGGCCGACGAAACAGAACCACCACACTTTCAAGCTGCCCCAGTAAAACCATCTCCGTCTCCCTCCCTCACCTTTGCCCATACAATTTCTGAGAAACTTGACACCAAGAATTATCTTCTTTGGTGTCAACAAGTTGAACCCGTCATCAAAGGTCATCGTCTTCATCATTTTCTGGTCAATCCTCAAATCCCCCCAAAATTTCTTACTGTTTCCGACAGAGATGCAAATCACGTCTCCGAAGAGTACCTGGCTTGGGAACAGCAAGACCAGTTACTTCTCTCCTGGTTGCAATCCTCCATGTCCAAGGATATGCTTACCCGCATCATTGGTTGCAAGTCATCATTCCATATTTGGGACAAGATCC